GCATCAGTGGGTTGGGCACTCAGTGTATTGTGCTAATACAATTACATACCCTAGAAGTAAAGCCTGGTGAAGCTTGTCTGTACCATTTTCTAAGCATGGGAACAATCAGTAGAGGTACCGTGGGATTGCTGTTGCATCAGTGGGTTGGGCACTCATGATATAACCCAGGGTGCAGTAATGTAGACTGTGATCATATAGGGTGTTTGTAAAGTCTCATTACATTCTGGGTGTAGAATAAATTTAAATAACGAAGTATATGATGTCATCAGATCAAAATTTGCTGCACAATCATTCATGAAGCAGTAGGCAGTTAATGGCTGTGATCTACTGGAGTAATTCTTTACTTTCAGCAAAATCGTGTTAGCAGTGGAAGAAAGAATTATTTTTCTCAAGCAAGTGTTTCAAAATGGCAGCCATTACACAGGGATGGTTGTTTAAAGATTTGTAGCAAGACTGTTTGATAAACAACTTTCTCATCACATTAAAGTTAGATATTTATTGAATTAGTTTCGTGCTATGAAAAATGTGGAAATATGTATATATCTATTTCATTTTACAGGACCAGCAATTAGAGGTCGGTGACGAGATCTTGGAAGTCGAAGACAAGTCTTTTACAGGCCTTCATTATGAAAAGGTACATTGTTTCATGTTTTATTTTAATTTTGAAAATGAGCAGGGGATGAAAACACATTAAGGTGTGATTTGCAAACATGTACAAGTTTCCACACATGCAGTATCAAGTTATGGTTTGCCAGGTTGTCTTTAAATGTGCTCAGCATTTGAACTTGGTTTTTTCTGTAACAAGAATGTTTTCATTTTCATGAGAAGGGAAAAACTGGAATTTTCAGAAAACAGGAAATTTTGGGGTTAGGAAAAATAGGCAGAGAACGACCAGGAGAGAAGACAGACAGTTTGGTATCATGGCATGGGAGATCTTCTTCTCCTTCTTCTTCAACTCCTGGTACCCTGTCTGATGCCAGTCTTGTAACATGGCCAAACCATCTGATCTGTGAAAGAGATCATACAAATCAAAAATTATTGGCACTCTACGTGACAGATGACTGTGACAGATCTGATGGAGGACAGGGCAAGGAGAAGATCAAAAGACAAATAGCTTGATGGTCTGAGACATGGCATAAACAGGACAAGAACAAACAAACTTGATCCAAGACTAGTGATCATTGGGATGTTGTACTGTGACTGCCCATGCTTATTGGCAGGGCACGTGATAATAGTAATTTGATGATGATTTTGTAATGAATGAGTTATTTGTGTGTGTAGCTACTAGATAAGGGAGATATTCTGAAGGCCATTTATGTTCTGGTAGTCTTAGTTTCAGCTTCATAGCAAACGGGTTGCCCCATCTTTGCTCCACTCCTGTGCCAGCGAAAAACACTCAGAATGTCTATCACAGTCCCTTGTGGAAAGATTGACAGACTGCTGTCTCAGCATATCTAGCATACACTCGCATTAAAGCATATGGTAGCCATCCGAAGTGCTAACACAAACAGTCCAACATTAGAAATGCAGTTCATCATTGATGATAGCAGAACTTGTCGTCAACAGATCAGCAGTTGTCCGCGTGATCAATTTTAATACGGGTCCCGCAAGCATTGAACGACAGGCATCGCGCCATTTTCTGAATCTACAATTCACACCACCACGTTGGTCACAGTCAAAAAAAAAAACATTCCAAATGCAATCCGCAGCTCACAGGGTCACGCCATGCATTCAACTCAGAAGCTGGGCCATTTATGAATGAATGCTATCGGAAGATACCATATTAGATGAAACAACATGTGTAATGTTTAAATTTGAAATTTAGTCTGGATCTGGCATGAAAGGAGGCAGGAGAGGAGAAATACAGTTTGTGTACAACAGGTATGTGCTGCTGGAGAAGTCAGCGTCTACATCTGGAGACATTTGTTGCAGGAGACTGGGCATCTTTTGATGTGCTGTAATGTCAGCTTTTAAATCAGTCAGTCCTCTTACTTCTCAGCCTTCACTAGCTGTAAAAGTCTGTGGAAAGTTCTGGGTGTTCGTCCATTTCTGGACTTTGGTCTTGTTCCAGAACTTGAGTTTTTCATGCACGTCTGTTTTATCAGGCTTATTTATATGCAGACTCTTGGTTTCTCACCTCCAAGGCAGGTGCACTCAGACTTCAAAGGAAACTTCCCTGATTGGTCGCCTTGTACCACTTGCTTGTTAGGGAGGCAGTAGGTCTTTTCTCCACACCTGTCACTCCCACCGACCCCCAAATGGATCCCTGAAACTCAAACAGGGAAAACCAGTAAATGATTTTTATGTTGACCTTTTTATAATGATTTAATGATGATTGTTTTAATGTCACATGTAAATGAATTATTGTGTTTTATGATGATCTAATGATGATGGTTTTAGTGTCACATGTAAATGAATGATTGTGTTTTATGATGATCTAATGATGATGGTTTTAATGTCACATGTAAATTAATGATTGTGTTTTATGATGATCTAATGATGATGGTTTTAATGTCACATGTAAATTAATGATTGTGTTTTATGATGACTGTTGAAATAACTGACAATGACTGCTACAACTGTCATTGTTCTTTGACTTCCTGCAGGCCATAGAGATTCTCCGAGCAGCACAAGGCTCTGTACGGTTGAAAGTACGAAAGGCTGGTAGTATCACAAATGTAGGTTTGACAACAAATGCCATCTCTGACAGCGGTCACAGAAAAATGCAGTTACTAAATACTTTAGGTAAGCTTACTGCAATTATATTTCCTGTTATGGGAAATCTTGCAGCTGGTTGATTGGTTGAATTGTTTGTTCAGTTAGTTGGTAGGCAGTTGATTGGTTGAATTGTTTGTTAAGTTAGTTGGTAGGCGGTGATTGGTTGAATTGTTTGTTAAGTTAGTTGGTAGGCGGTTGATTGGTTGAATTGTTTGTTAAGTTAGTTGGTTGGCCGTTGATTGGTTGAATTGTTTGTTAAGTTAGTTGGTTGGCTAGCTGATTGTATGGGCTATTGGTTGGTTGGATGGTTGGCTAGCTGATTGGATGGGCTATTGGTTAGTTGGATGGTTGGCTAGCTGATTGGATGGGCTATTGGTTAGTTGGATGGTTGGCTAGCTGATTGGATGGGCTATTGGTTAGTTGAATGGTTGGCTAGCTGATTGGATGGGCTATTGGTTAGGTGGCTAGATGAGTTGTTGTTAGGCTGCTGAGCTTTGCAAAAAGTTTATCAGAGATCAGAAGCATGATGACCCTATGCTCCTGAAGCAGCTTCTCGTGGTTTTAATGACAAAGATGACACCTCCATTGTCTTTTTTTTTAATTTTTTTTTTTAATTAAATTTATAGTCTGCACTACATATGTCTGCATTTCTTAAGACAGTTTACAAGGAAACATTTTTCTATTTACTTTCTGATTTTTGCCTTTAAAATTCTGTTTGATCTTATTTTTTTTTCTTTTCTGATTCTCCCATATATTATTTTTCCTCAACTCTTTTTATTTATTTATTTATTTATTTTATGATTCTCTCTTATCCTGTTTTGTCTTTTATGGTTCTGTTTTATACGATTACTTTTTTCTTTTAAGTTCTGTCTTAACTATTCTTTTCTTTTATCATTCACCCTTGTCACATTACGAATTTACTGTTTTAATGTTCTTTTATTGCAGGAGAGTCATCTACAGACCATATAGAATCTTCGGAAAGTGGAGATCCAAAGACACGCCCTATAGCAGCTGGAAGGCGCACCTACATAGAGATTGAGAAGGGAAAGGTAGCATTAGGAGTGGGAATAGTCGGTGGATCTGACACCTTGCTGGTGAGTACATATTGTCTTCATAATTCTGTATTTTTTTTTTCTTCTTCTCATTCTCCTGCCAGTGGTTCTGAAACAAAAAAAATCTATCAACCTCTATTAATGTCGTAATGTGATTCGTGTCCTCCATACAAATTGGTTGCCATCAACTTGTCTTCTGCCTTGTGCGTGTCTGTGTTGCTGTATATTTGAATGTATGAATTTGTTATCCATACTTTGATATTTTTAATTTACATTTCATACTATGAATATTTTGATATATTGACATAAAATATTTGATAAATAAAATGCAGTTGTGTGAAAGATGAGTGTTTGAAAGGGCCTACATGCCCAATTTATGACCCCCTTGGAAATAATTTGTTTATTCAGTCATTTATTTGTAAATTCAGAATGCCAACCAGCCAGACTTGAGATTTTTTACTATAGGAAGTGTGTCTGCAGCACTTGACCAGAATTGCGTTGTGCCTGTCCTTATGGGCAAAGTTGCTAGTTCCTAATCCAAGAGCGAGGTGTGCAAAGCAACCTGTGGGGAACCATGGACGATCTGCAACTGACCTGCAAATTCACAGATTCAGCCCACGTGACAGTCTGACCTAAGCAAATGAAACCAAACATCAAGAGGAAGAAGCATCTCCTGTCCCAGTAACATGGCTGCGGATTCTGTTGTGGTCGGTTCACAATATAAAAATCATGGTTACATGAAGGAAACAGACCATTGTAGACAAAAACAAAAATAGTTCTGTATAATAATAGTAAAATTATTGCCATAGTAGTTGCTGCCATAAGTGTGTAAATTGTTAGACCTTCGTATATACTACATCATGATATACAAGTTAGTATATGCAGTTCCCTTCCTCGTTGCCTTTTCTTTCCAGACATCTCCCAGAAAATTATAAACATTGTCTGTCACATATTTTAGTGAATCTTTTTTCTTTCATGTCCGTTCTTTCCTGAGTGGTTTATTAGGCCAAATTTAAAGGGGAGGCAGGGGAAAATAGACCCACTGTCTCCTTAAAGAGTATGTCGTAAAAGTATGCCCCCCGGAAACCATGCAGGAAAAAAACTTTGTATCTTGAAGATCTCATTTTTCATTAGAATATCTGCATAATATTTTACCACCATCATTTTTTCTCGAACACCTGCAGAATCTCCTACTACCATCGTATATTCTCTAACATCTACAGAATCTCCTACCATCATCATATTTTCTCTAACATCTACAGAATCTCCTGCCACAATCATATATTCTCTAACATCTACAGAATCTCCTACCAGCATCGTATTTTTTCTAACGTCTACAGAATCTCCTACTACCATCATATATACTCTAACATCTACAGAATCCCCTACCAGCATCATATTTTCTCTAACATCTACAGAATCTCCTACCACCATCATATATTCTCTAGCATCTATGGAATCTCCTACCACCATCATATTTTCTCTTAACATGTACAGAATCTCCTACCAGCATCGTATTTTCTCTAACATCTACAGAATCTCCTACCAGCATCGTATTTTCTCTAACATCTACAGAATCTCCTACCAGCATCGTATTTTCTCTAACATCTACAGAATCTCCTACCAGCATCGTATTTACTCTAACATCTACAGAATCGCCTACCACCATCATATTTTCTCCAATATCTACAGAAACTCCTACCACCTTCATATTATCTCCAATATCTACAGAATCTCCTACCAGCATCATATTTTCTCTAACATCTACAGAATCTCCTACCACCATCATATATTCTCTAGCATCTATGGAATCTCCTACCACCATCATATTTTCTCTTAACATCTACAGAATCTCCTACCAGCATCGTATTTTCTCTAACATCTACAGAATCTCCTACCAACATCGTATTTTCTCTAACATCTACAGAATCTCCTACCAGCATCGTATTTTCTCTAACATCTACAGAATCTCCTACCAGCATCGTATTTTCTCTAACATCTACAGAATCGCCTACCACCATCATATTTTCTCCAATATCTACAGAAACTCCTACCACCTTCATATTATCTCCAATATCTACAGAATCTCCTACCATCATCATATTTTCTCTAACATCTACAGAATCACCTACCACCATCATATTTTCTCTAACATCTACAGAATTTCCTACCACCATCATATTTTCTCCAATATCTACAGAATCTCCTACCATCATCATATTTTCTGTAACATCTACAGAATCGCCTACCACCATCATATTTTCTCTAACATCTACAGAATTTCCTACCAACATCATATTCTCTCTAACATCTACAGAATCGCCTGCCACCACCATATATTCTCTAACACCTGCAGAATCTCCTACCACCATCATATTTTCTCTAACATCTACAGAATCTCCTACCACCATCATATTTTCTCTAACATCTACAGAATCTCCTACCACCATCATATTTTCTCTAACATCTACAGAATCTCCTACCACCATCATATTTTCTCTAACATCTACAGAATCTCCTACCACCATCATATTTTCTCTAACATCTACAGAATCTCCTACCACCATCATATTTTCTCTAACATCTACAGAATCTCCTACCACCATCATATTTTCTCTAACATCTACAGAATCTCCTACCACCATCGTATTTTTTCTAATATCTACAAAATCTCCTACCACCATCGTATTTTCTCTATCTACAAAATCTTCTACCACCAACGTATATTCTCTAACACCTGCAGAATCTCCTAACACCAATGTATTTTCTCTCATATCTACAAAATCTCCTACCACCATTGTCTATTCTCCAATATCTACAGATTCGCCTACCACTATTGTATTTTCTCTAACATCCGCAGAATCTCCAGCCACCAAAGTCTCCATCTTACATATATTATTTGTAAAACATGTTGTGTACAATCTCTTCTCTCACTGAGCAGACTTGCAAACAAAAGTTGTCTGCTCATTTCAGAATGCCATTATTGTCAGTGAGATCTATGACAACGGGGCTGCTGCCAAAGATGGCCGCTTGTGCGTCGGTGACCAGATATTGGAGGTAAGGCAGAGAGATGAGCACAAGTGAAAGTAATCCTGTGCCACAACATTTTAGTCAGGTGTGTCATCATATATACTAGCACAAGGTCAAGTAAATGACCCTTTTCCACACCTTCAGGCCTATTGGGCATATAGGGCTAGACCTACAGTTTTTAGATCAATCAGCACTTGTTGGGTGATGTGGTCAATATCATGCCGGCAGCGTTTACTTCCCAGGACTTTACCCGGGACCCATTCAAGGCTGGGTCTACCTGAAAGCCAAGGTCATGTTTTTTTTTTTAAAGTCTGGCTCTGTCAGAACTTGAACCCACGACTTTCAGATCTGTAGGTGAGCATCTAGCTGCTACACTATGGCCGCTGCCTCACATAAACAAGGTCGTTGTATTTCATTGTGGGATAGTGTAATGTCTACACGTAACTTGATGGAATGTTTACTACTAACTTGATAATGGAAAGTTCTACTTGTAACCTGATTATTATGATGATTCTGTTGTTTCTGGAGCAGCATTTTTTTTAGGAGGAAAAGAATAGATCCATTGCCCCTCAACATTCTGTTCTGGTTGATGAAATGATGGGTGGTTTCGGCATGGCTTTCCTGTCTCTCTGCTCCAATTGGTACACCCGGAGAATGCAGTCTGTTCATTGAAAAATCATTTGCCATGAAATTTAAAAGCCTTACAGTGTTTAGTCTCTTGTATGGCATTGATGTTGTCTCCTATCCATAGAGGGCCCATTTCTGATAGTCGCACTGCCAGCCAAGACATCTGCTCTCTCATTGCCTTTCACACCAGCATGCCCAGGACCAAACTTGAAACTGATTTTGTGAATCACTGTGTGCTGTGTCAGATGAAGCCACTGTTTCTGGGAATCACTGTGTGCTGTGTCAGATGAAGCCACTGTTTCTGGGAATCACTGTGTGCTGTGTCAGATGAAGCCACTGTTTCTGGGAATCACTGTGTGCTGTGGCAGATGAAGCCACTGTTTCTGGGAATCACTGTGTGCTGTGTCAGATGAAGCCACTGTTTCTGGGAATCACTGTGTGCTGTGTCAGATGAAGCCACTGTTTCTATATATACCCTGCCTTGATCTTCTGTAGCATGCTCATCGAGTACTTTGATATGACTAAGAAAAGGAAGGGGTTCATATCAAACCTTCAAAAATAGAGAGGTCTACTCTTTCACTATTATCTCACCTCCACAAAAATGGCAGAGTCCCTGAGTCTTTCAAGAACCACTTTATCTATCTAATGGGCTACCATTCACATTGGTAACTTAACATTCCAACACAGTTTTTTTCTAATATTGTTTAGTCATATACCTTACCATTCACAGCTTTTTTTCGGGCTGGTCTTTATTTCCAGTGGTCACACATGTGACATAGATTCAACTGACCAAAAGGTATGTGATTTCTCTCAGAGCTGCTTCATCTAAGTGATTTTGTACATTCTTGTTCATGTTTGTGATATAATATATTTATATAATGAACTGATGAAGGCTTTTTAGCTGCAACATTCAATTGTTGTTACTGTCTGTGATAAAATGAAGCTGACTGGCTCTGCCTTTCATTTTGTTTGATATCTTTTCATGATATATTTTTTCACAAATAAACTCCTTGTTGCCTCACATTTACAGGTAAATGGCGAAGACCTTACTGATGCAACTCATGCTTCGGCTCTTCAAGTTCTTCGCCAGACTACATCGATTGTTAAAATGGCAGTTTACAGAGACGAAATCAGAGCCGCAGAAGAGGATGCGCTGGATGTTTTCTCCGTGGAACTGGTCCGTCGACCTGGCAAAGGTTTAGGACTAAGCATCATGGGGAAGAAAAATGGTGCTGGTGTCTGTATCTCTGACATTGTAAGTTTCACGCTGTTTGTCTTTATTTGTCATAGAAAATGAACCGCTTTTGGATAATTGTAAGTTTATATGCCAGGACAGTAATGACAAGTATTGTAAACGATATCGCCCTTGTGGGTTCCAGGGCCCTATTGTCAAAAAGAAAAGAATAGACCTCCCCCCCCCCCCTCCCCCCTCTCACCCAGCAAGTGTGAGGTAAAAATCAACTAATTAGGGTGTTTCCTGCTAAGTTGAAGTGCATTTGCCTGAGGGGTGAGGAACCAACAGTCTGCATACAAATAAACCAAATCTGTAAAATGGATGTGCACGCAAAACCTAAGTCCAGAAGTGAACAAACAACAAGAACTTTCTGCCCCAGTTTACAGCAGGTGAAATCTAAGAAGAAGATAAAGTCTTTAAAAAATATATTTTTGAACATCTATAGAAACAAACCACACATTTAGAGGAAGAATTGTCACGTGTTATGAATAATCTAGAAGCTGTCAGAGAATTGCCTAAACTGACACCAAAATTGACGACAGATGGATTTAGGAAACGGGAATGTACAAGAGAAATCCTAAGATGAACACTGAGGGGCCAAAGGTGCTTGATTGGATTCCAGCCATGGTATCAGTAGTAGGATTGCACAAGATGTAACAGAAGGGAGGAGGACTGTGTAATGTATATATAATCCACACTATGGTGCAGATCTGTGGACCCAAGAAATTTTTCTTTTTTGAAATTCCTCTTATCCAGGTATGAATTCAAGCAAGAAAAATTGTCAGAGATTAATAAACTGTTCTTCGCGACAGAAATTCACCACATCCTAGATCACCTTAAGTGGTCTGTTCTGTGTCTGGAGCAGAAACATGGACAGTGACCATGCACTTAGAAAGTCGATACAAGTGGGAGGATAACATCAAGAGATGGATCAATAGCAGTCACAGCGAGGATGTAAACAGAGCAAGAGACAAGGGGTATTCAAGAACGTAGTGGTCACGACAAGTGGTATTTTCTGCTTTGTTCAAGTAAAACTGTCCAAATGTTAGCTCTTGGGCTTTCACGGCTCAGGTTTGAGGGAGAGTTGTGAAGAAAGATTCTGGAGCTTTTGCCGAAACTACAAGTAGTTTGACTATGGATGTTATGCGAAGTGTGACTCACCCCTGAAGTTACATTCCATAATGAAGCCCTGTTTGAGATATTTTGATAAACATCTACTACCATTATGTAAGATGCACACTGTTTTTAGACCCTATATTTTGGGGAAAATACAGTTATTGGGTTTTTCTCCGTGAAATAAAACCTGTTGTTCCATGTAAGCATATCTCCAGAGCCGATGTCATTGTTTATTCATTGTCCAGGTTGCTGCAACATATAAGTGGGATTGAGTAGACAACATTTGACAGTTCTAATCTATACAGCATTTTGTTTAAAGAAAAGTACAAATTAGACAAATACAAACTTCTTTTGTCTGGAAAAACAATTCATCTTTTATCTGGAAAAACAATTCATCTTTTGTCTGGAAAAACAATTCATCTTTTATCTGGAAAAACAATTCATCTTTTGTCTGGAAAAACAATTCATCTTTTGTCTGGAAAAACAATTCATCTTTTGTCTGGAAAAACAATTCATCTTTTATCTGGAAAAACAATTCATCTTTTGTCTGGAAAAACAATTCATCTTTTGTCTGGAAAAACAATTCATCTTTTGTCTGGAAAAACAATTCATCTTTTGTCTGGAAAAACAATTCATCTTTTGTCTGGAAAAACAATTCATCTTTTGTCTGGAAAAACAATTCATCTTTTGTCTGGAAAAACAATTAATCTTTTGTCTGGAAAAAACACCTTTTATCTGAGGAAAAAGCAATTGACACTTTACAACCCAAAATAATTCTACACAATATTATCAGTATAAATACAACAATCATCATCATCATCATGTAGCAGGTCCTTTGCAGAACGTCGCTCTCATCACGGTCTGCCTGAAAGAAACTCGGTCTCTCGCCAGTTCTCCCCCCTCATGTACTTTCACATTCAAAGAGTCACCTATATCCTGTGCCCATCTTCGTGTCGGTCGGCCTCTGCCCCTCCTTCCTGGTACCATGCCTTCTGCTATAATTTTTTCCAATCTGTCGTGACGCTTGATATGACCAAAATACTTCAGCTTTCAAGAAAGGATGCTGTTTATTAGCCAGTCTTCCTTGATGTTCAGATCTTTTAAGATGTCAATATTTCTCATCTTCTCTGTCCAAGATATTCTGAGAATCTTTCTATAACATTTAAGCTCAAAAGCCCCAATTCTCTTTCTCAAGGACTGAAAATACAACAATATCAACTTGATTATTTCCGAAGGTGAAAGGGGGCATAGCTGAAGCTGATGGACATCTTATGCATGGAGATCAAATTCTGGCCATCAACGGAGAGAACGTGAGCAACAGTACACAGGAGCATGTAGCTACTATTCTAAAGGTTAGTCTGAGGTTTTATTTTCCCTTTGTCTTCTTCTTCTTCTTTCTTCTCATCGGTTGTAGACTTTGATGGAAAGTGTTGCATGTTTGTCCGTTTCTAGACTTTGGTCTTATTTCAGAACTTGAGTTTTGCATGTACATCTATTTTACACATCTGGCCTATTTGCATGCAGACTTTTGGTTCCTTACCTCTCAGGCAGATGCACTCCGACTTCAAAGGAATCCCTTAATTAATTGACTCGTACGACATGCTCGTTGGGGAGGGGGGGGGGAGTCTGTTCTTGTTTTCACCCACAGTGGGGCACTGGAACACATGAAGGGAATGCTCTTTACTAGTTATTTATGTGTTTTTGTCATTGCATTGCATCATCATCGTGTAACAGGTCCTTTGCAGAGCGTCACTCTCATCACGGTCTGCCTGAAAGAAACTCGGTCTCTTGTCAGCTCTCCTGCCTCATGTATTTTCATACTCAAGGAGTCACTTATTTTGTTTGCCCTAACTTCCGGTCAAAATGGACACTAGGTACGGTCACTGTTGTGAGCAGTGGCAAAATTTCTTTGCTTCTGCCAGACGGTGGCCGGTGCATTTTTGCTCCATTTGTAGACTGAAAGGATAGTTTCATCGCCCAGCTTCTGTTGTGCATGGCGTGACACTGTGAGCTGCTGATTTCATTTGGAATGTTTTTCTACTGTGACCAACGTGGTGGTGTGAATTGTAGATTCAGAAAATGGCGCGATGCCTGTTGTGGCAATATTGGTGGTGCAATTATGTGATTAAAATTGATTGTATGTGCAACTGCTGATCTGTTGGTAACTTCTGCTACCATCCATGATGAACTGCATTTCTAATGTCGGACTGTTTGTGTTAGCACTTTGGATGGCTACTGTGTGCTTTTAATGCATGTGTATGCTAGTGCATATGCTGAGACAGCAGTCTGTCAATCTTTCCACAAGGGACTGTGATAAGCATTCTGTGTGTTTTTGTTTGCACAGGAACGGAGTAACTATGGGGTGACCCATTTGCTATGAAGCTGAAACTAAGATTACCAGATTACCAGATATGCTGTACCCATTTTTGTGTTGGTCGGCCCCTGCCCCTCCTTCCTGTTACCATGCCTTCTGCTATTATTTTTTCCAATCCATTGTGCGCTTGATATGACCAAAATATTTCAGTTTCCGAGACAGGAGGCTGTCATGATCAGTTTCTTGGGATAGTAATGTGGTAGTTTCCCCTTGTGTTGCATTGCACTGTGGTTAAATATACATAGTCTGTCAGCAGTCTGTCAACTTTAATCAGAGTGCACAGATGTTGTCACAACACACTGGTTACTCCCTACTTTTACCTTTTCATGTACTGGTTACATCTAGTTCAAAGCTTGAAGACACATTTCGGCCATCGTCCATTTATTATTAGTATATTATTGCAACACTTTATCGTGTTCAATATTTCACTTATTTGGTTGGCTATCCTCACTCTTTCATCCGGTTACCTTCACTCCTTCATCAGTACCCTAATCCGTGCATTAAAGCTACATCACTCACTCATCTGGTTGCCTCCTCACTCATCCAGCTACCTGCCTCAGCCATTCAGTTACTCTCACTCAGTCACCCAACTAGCTCAGTCACCCAACTAGCTCACTCAGTCATCCAACTAGCTCACTCACTCACCCTACTAGCTCACTAAGTCACCCAACTAGCTCACTCATCCAACTAGCTCACTCACTCACTCACCCTACTAGCTCAGCCAGTAAACCAACTAGCTCACTCACTCACCCTACTAGCTCAGCCAGTCACCCAACTAGCACACTCAGTCACCCAACTAGCTCACTCACTCAGCTAATTACCTTTACTGAGACCCAACTATCGTACTCATTAATCCATCTATATCCCTATGTCATCCAGTTACCCTCACTCAGTCACCTTTCTGACTCATTCATCTAGTTACTTAACTCATTCCTCCAGTTACCTTATTCATTCAGTTAGCTCCCTCAGCCATCCAATTACCATCACTAGTCACCGCTCTAGCACCCTCAGCTATCTGACTTTTTTATCTAGTTACCTACCCTCAGTCATCCAGTCACCTCGCTCATTTATCTAGTTACTTCACTCATTCATCTAATTACCTCCTTCAGCCATCCAGTTATCTTCAGTCAGTCATCTTCAGTCAGTCATCCGTCTTTATTTAGTTACTTCACTCATTCATCTAATTACCTCCTTCAGCCATCCAGTTATCTTTAGTCAGTCACCCATCTAAGTCACCCATCTAGCTCTCAGTCGCCCACTTACCTCTACTGAGACACCCAACTATCTCACTCATTCATCCAGTTAAATCTCTCTCTCATAGAGTTACCCTCACTCAATCATCTTTATAACTCATTCTTCAACTTGTCTCATTCATTTTATCCAGCTGTCTCACTCGTTTATCCAGTTTCTCACCCATTCATCCAAAAACCTCTTACTTATCCATCTAGCTACCTTACTTATCCACCTGGCTATCTCACGTATTTATCTGATTACCTCACCCATTGATAAAAAATTATCTCACTCATTCATTTAAATATCTAGTGCATTCATTTAACTATCTCACTCATTTATCCAATTATCTCTCCCATCCATACAGCAACCTCACTCATATCCATCCAGCTACCTCACTCATATCCATCCAGCTACCTCACTCATATCCATCCAGCTACCTCACTCATCTACCTGGCTATCTCACCTATTCATCTGTTTATCTCTTACTCATTCATTAAACTTTCTCACCCAATTATATCTCATCTTTACGGCTATCTCACTCATTCATCTGGTTACAAAGTCTCACTCATTAATCCACTTCCAAAGCTTATTTTCATTCAGTCAGTTAACCTCACTCATTCATCCAGTTACCTCACTTATTTTCATTCAGTCAGTTAACCTCACTCATTTATCCAGTTACCTCACTTAATTCCTTTCGTCAGCTATTCTTTATTCATTATAGTAATTTCTCTACCTTTACAGACAGTCACAGGGAAAGTCCACTTATCCATCGGCCGACTCAAGGCAAGCTCCAAAGCTTCTTCTACAAGTAATTCCAATTATGGCATCTCACTAAAAAAATCTGACTCCTCGGTCAGTAACAAACCAAAGGGCAAACATTCCAAAAGTAAGAATTCTTGTTTGTAACTGAGAAAATAATTGTTAATTGTGAAAAAGTTTTTAAAGTTTTTTCAAAGTACATGTGATTTATCTCTGGTGAATTTGTAGTAAATCTAATACTGAAAAAAATATACAGCATTTATTTTTTAAATTTAATTTTTTTCAAAGTACATGTGATTTATCTCTGGTGAATTTGTAGTAAATCTAATACTGAAAAAATATACAGCATTTATACTTGCTACTTTGATGAATTAGCTCTTATGTTTTAAAAGTTATGAAACACATATTTTAGTGATAATAAGTAAAATTAAATCCAACTATACTTCATTAACCCTTTCGCTGCTGTGAACATATTTTGCCGTTTGCCTGTACACTGCTACGCATGTCTTTGGATGTTATCCAGTTTCTTGCCCCTCTGTGCTTAGGGGCGTAAAAACACATTTTTGACTTCTTGGGGGTCAAAGGGCAATACACACTAGCCATATCTCGACCAGTGTTGCCACTTTTCTTTGACAAAAAACATCCATAATGGAGTCAAAAAATAAATCTAATCTTGTGTGGAAAACATCTAGAAAAACATCCAAATGGAAAGAGTCACAAATTACATAGCAATTGATATGACATACCCTATAGAATCATGTCCTCATCTTTACTGAAGTTTGCCTTACAAGATCCACAGATAAACTTAGCTTGGATAATAAAGTTGAAGCTTCAGATCCCAAATGACTCTGGTATGCTTTAGCTGTTCCAATTTCTTTTAATACCCAATCAGGGAACTGATAAGTGGAACAGCATTTTCCTACTCTTATCAGGCCTAATTTTATTGTTGATAGCATATGATACTCAATTTCATTGTTTCTTAGGTTACATTTGATAAATTCACTCCAAATGAAAAACATCTAGAAAACATCTACCATCTAAATGTCAAAAACGCCATCTAAATGCAAGAAAAAACATCTAAATCTGGATGTAAAACATCCAAAGTGGCAACACTGATCTGGACCCATGGGAAACTTTACATATGATGAAACACCTTGCCATATGCATTGAGTACTGTTCAGATGTGTTCCAAGTGATCCTGTTGCTTTGTTTACCACAGATGCATGGTCAGTCAACTGTATTTTTTTACACATACGGCAGTGGTAGAGACAAAGAGGAAGTAGAATTAGGAGAGGATACATTTACTTTCACTATCCCTGGTGAAGCCGAGCAATGAAGTCTAATTTCTAGTATTTAATTTCTGTAAAGGCATGGTTTCTTGGTGTAGCCATAGTGTGTCTGACTTGTCAACACTCGGGCCAACCACCAACCTCCCTAGGGGGTGAATATTTTAGGTGTACAAAATATAGCCTGTACTGCCAGCACATCTTTTGCTTTTGGGGGATAGAAAATATTCAGCACCGGAGAGAGAGGATCAGCCGGGAACTTACAGTGGTAACAATGGCTGGGGAGTACGCTAGCAGCAAAAGGGTTAAAGAAGTCAGTTATTACAGAAATATTTATTTTTGGTTTTAAGTAGCTCAGCTGGCAAATTAAGAGGGAAAAAGACCTGCCCAGTAACATATATAACACCCTTAGCTGCTACTGCACAAGGGCCAGGCTCCTGAATGGTATAAATACCCTGTTGTGGGTCATTTGTCAACATTATAATTTTGACAGGCCAGTCCCTATAGAGCCTAATCATAAATATTTCTAAATGCCAGGACATTTTAAGAGTGCTCATCCAAAAAGAAGATATTCTAGCCGTTTTCCTGTTGCAGTGTGTCACTGTTGTTAGATAGTTGGCATTTTTTTTAAATCATGTATCCCCCTTTGTTAAGCACACACACACACACACATGCACGCACCCACACACACATCAATTGCTACAGGTTGTTTTACTAGAAAGCATTTTTTAAATCACATCTTATTGTATTTTTTTATAGCAGTTTTAGTTTTTTTTTTTAGAACTGCATTAGCTATTCATCATTGTTACTTTAGTAGCAGTAGTATTTTAATGTTCTTTGCACTAAATTTTGTCTCTGCGTGAAATTCACACATTCCTGTGCTAGATGTGAATAAACTGAAAAAACAAGAAAGTATATGTCTGCTTTACAGAACACAGTTCAATAAGCAAAGAAAGAACATCGCAGCAACAAACCTTCATCAGAAATAAAAATGTGAAACAAGACGTGACACAAAACAGGAAATAAGACTGAAGTAATTTCGAGCTGAAATGTTATAGAAAGATTCTCAGAATATCTTGGACAAAGAAGATGAGAAATATTGACATCTTAAAAGTTCTGAACATCAAGGAAGATTGGCTAATAAACAGCATCCTTTCTCGAAAGCTGAAATATTTTGGTCATATCAAGCGCTACGACAGATTAGAAAAAATTATAGCAGAAGGCATGGTACCAGGAAGGAGGGGCAGAGGCCGACCGACACGAAGATGGGCACAGGATATAAGTGACTCCTTGAGTGTGAAAGTTCATGAGGCGGGAGAACTGGCAAGAGACCGAGTTTCTTACAGGCAGACTGTGATGAGAGCGACGTTCTGCAAAGGACCTGCTACATGTTGATGAACTTCATGGTAGTATTCAAATATAATGTATAATAATGTATAATAAATTGGGAAACCTGGCTGGTTGTTTTAGTCATTGATTTCTGGGTAACTACTATCATCTGAGGAGCCATGTTAGCGTGCTTACCTTCCAGCCTCGTGGTTATGTACGTAAAGCCCTCGGAGGTGGGGATTTTTCAACAATTTTACCTGTGCTTCCAAGCTCAAAAAAGTACCAGGAAAGGATCCTGATGGAGTAGTGTGATGCTGAGTACAAGATTCTTAATGTCTCTTAGACTCTCTTGCTCACGCCTTCCTCACTTTAACGTGGTGAACCCTGTTCCCCCCCCCCCCCCCCAGTAATCCAGTGAAAGGTTGGGGTTTCAACCCCTAGCCCGAAAGTGGATGGAATCACAAATGAGGTGAAGGTGAAATCTTGTTCCATCTGCCAGCTTCAAAGTTGAGTGTTAGGTGTGACACCTTGGCAGTTGGAAATCAAAAAGAGCAGACCAATGGTGCTGCCTGGGCAAAATTTAGAATGATAAATCTACCCAAAGTAATTCAGGATTCCGCCGGTGCAACGGAGTTTGTGCACTGCGCTCCTTGCTACTTCTAACTCAGCCTGATTTAGAAGTATAATGGAGCTCTTATGGGTTAAACCAGTGTGCCATGATGTTGATCCACCGACTAAACTAAACTAAACAATCTGGAAAAGATAAACAGAAAATGGGGAAAGAAGTTGACAATCCTGTCTCATAATCTCTTGACCTAATATGTGTAGAGTTCTGCCATATTACATTTTCATTAACAGTATTTACAGTAAATTACCTTTATTTGTTTTTTAAACAAGTTTTATTATTCTGTATGTGATTTGTCTACGTAACTTTAGCTGTGTTGTTGGTTTTGTCTTTTATTCAATTCTTTTTTTACAGGTATTCCATCTTCCAAAAGCTACTAACCCTACCTGGCATATCTGAGAGTTTATTTATTTATTCTTTTTTACAGTATTAATTACCATTTTTTTTTTTTTTTGCTACCAAAATTTTAATGTCAAGAATTTACATTGCCAAATTTGTCCCTGGATCTTGAGGTTGAACTTGCTAGTTTTTTTTAATAGTTTTTTTTCAAGTCAATATCCGTTAAGTTTATTTCCTTAATTAAAATCCTTGAGAATTTTTGTTTGCAAACTTAAACTGTACTTTATTAAAATAAAGTCAAAGTCCAGTTTGATGAACAACCAGGACTTTCCGCTGGAGCTTACAACCCATGAACAAAAAATCTGTAGACATCTAGAATTCATGGTATAGGTTAAGAATGTGTGACTCAGTGACTGTCTTCTAGTTCTTCTTCTTCATGTTCACCTGCTGTAGACTCTGACAGAAAGTTCTGGTTGTTTGTCCACTTCTGGACTTTAGTCTTGTTCCAGTACTTGTATTTTGCATGCACATCTGTTGTACAGATCTGGCTTATTTGTGTGTAGAGTGTTGGTTCATTCTTCTCAAGCTAACCAAACAAAGAAACAAAAATTAATGTAGCTAGCAATTTATTTGTTACAAAAACTGCAGTTTTCAGCTAATGTGGTATCTGCTGCTTAGATGTATTCTGATAAATATGGGTGTAGCCTTGTTTCTGAGCGTCGTAATAACATCCTTTCAGTTGTTTCTGAGCACATTAATAACATCCATTCCATTTGGGGGGGGGGGGGGGGTTTAAATTATTATTTTTTTTTTTTTTTTACTGACATGGCTGAGAAAGTCTTTTGACACAGACAAGAGTTCAAAAAAAGATAACAAACAATTTAACAGCTCTATAACTCAGAGATGGACATTATTTTTTGAGTGATATCCAAAACTAACAATGTTTAATTCTAATGTCAAATCAGTACTGTTGTATGGAGCGGAAACATGGAGAACAACTATGGCAGTTACAAATAAACTACAAACATTCATTAACTGGTGCCTGTGCAGAATACAGGGAATTAAATTGTATGATAGAATCACTAGCCTAGAGCTTTGGGACAGAACGAAACAAGTTCCAGTGGACCAAGAGGTCAAGAAAAGACACTGGCTGAGAAAACTTGAGAATAATATAACTAGAATGTCTTTGCACCGGAATCCACAGGGACATAGAAATAAAGGAACACACACACAAATGCATGGAGAATGGAGCTAGAAAAGGAAGTTGAAAAGATGTGGAGAGTTGCATGCGATAGCAGAGGATAGAACAACTTGGTGTTAGTTGCTCGAAGGCCTATGCTACATTGGGGGGTTAGAAAGGAAGAAGAAGAAATCCAAAACTCACAACCACTGAATTTTATTTCTGGGCACAAGACATCTGTCAGCTTTTCGGTTTCAAGAAACGTTTGACGGTCCAACTGGACTTTTGCGCAATCCACGGGTTGAAGAACACTGCTTTAAAACTCTGTAATGAAGTACTTGAGCTTCGTAGATCTTTCAGTTAGCTTA